TCTCCATGTACCTTTACATTACGCGTTCGTTATAGGGTAAATACGAACGCCATGTTGACGCACGTCAATCCGTCCTTCTGTCCGTGTGACTCTCTATCTGTAAGAGAATATCACTAAATAATTTTGGCTTCTTAAAAATTGATTTGCGATATTTGGACAATTTGTCAAATTACAATTTTCAGCCACATGGATCCACATTATAGTCCAGTTTAATTAAAACTCATAGATTTATTCCTGTATGAGCATACTATTATTGGTTAACTGAATGTGACATAGTGAATGCATGAGAGTTAAATAAACTGCAAAGAAAAACTTTGGGAATTTTGTATAATACAAATACTTTATGGAATAAATCTTTTATTATAATCTTCTTTCGTTCGTCTGTCCATTCTTGCATCAGCTTCACCAGCTGACAGCTAATTAATTTTTTCCTCTGTTACTTCATTAACTTTGTTGCTGTTCTGTAGTTCTGTCACCACAGAATGTAACATGGGCACACCCCACGTTCGTCGTTTCGCCCAACGCATTTCAGCTCATTGCGCTATCTGCAGGTATTTCAGTTGTTTACCTGCATTGGCCAGTGTTTACATATTGGAATACCGTTTTTATTAGTATTTCATCCTGTTATATATGGAAAGGTGTGTTCACATTTAAGATTAAATATTAATTATTAATATATATAAGATAAACACCGTCTTAAGTGTAACAATTTTATTGTAAGATTTGAGGCTTTCACGGCGGTGACTATGAAGAAAGCAGTCTTCTGGGATTTGGCACCGTGTATATGTGNTTCTTTCCCCTCCCTCCACACACTCCACTCATATATATTGTGCGAGTGTAACAGGATGCTCAAATATAATATTAATTATTAAAATGTTAAATAACTAAAATTAAGCTTATATAAAAAGTTATCTTATATTTTGTCTGGATTTAGTCGTTGTGTCTTCTATCGGGTTTCATCCCAGATCAGGTCGTGTGTGAATTTTGGGGAAAGAAGTGGCACTGGGGCGAACTTTATCCGGGAATTTCGATTTCCCCTGCCAATTCTCATTCCATGAATTACTGTACATTCATTTATCATCATATCATCCGACTGTCCTGACTGAGGATCCTCGTGGTTTCCATCAGCTCCTCTACGCAGATGTCCAGATAGCATCTAGATTAGGCCACGACCACTTCCTTGTAAACCCTTTCCAATTCACTATTCATCTATCCTCTTACTATCTAACACTATATACTTTCCCTACTGAAAAATGTTTTTAAATAAAGAAAAGAAGCCAAGCGATCGATAATATTTAACCGTTGCTAAGAAACGATCTTTTTCCCCTCTTAATGCAGGGCGGTAAGTCGGCGTTGTTATTAGCGAGAAGCAGCTGCCCCGTCTTACCAACAAGTCGCAGGATCTGGAAGCTCATTTTCTGGAAAGGGGAAAATTTGCCGTTAGTGAGACTCGAAGCCTCACTTCAGCATGAGGTAGGGACGATGGTGCCAGCTAGTCAGACGAGAAACTGATATTTGGCAATGTTTGTACAAAACGCCTAGACAGCTGCGCCGAAAATCACATGAAGCATTGTCTATGTCAAGGTCCTTCTATTGCCGCATCCCTAAATGTCTGACACTGTAGCGTACATAGCCGTTGCTATGCAACGACCGCGAGCTGGGCGCATATACCATACCCTTCTCTGGGCAGATGCTCGCTAAACACGTTCCCGTTGCAGGGCAGCAGATTCTTAATAACGCAACAGTTTGTCTTCAACAGCGGAATAGCTGTGTTCTCTATGTTGTCTGTGCTGAGATGTTATAAGCCTTATAGTTTAGAGTTTAGTTCTGTTGTGAGACGGTGGCCAGATGGGAAAGGCGTAAGTACGTGAAGCTAAAGAATCTCCACTGTTAGAAGCCGTTGCTAGGGAACGGCGGGTGAAGACACAGCAGGCTAAAACAGGCTTAGCGGGTGCTGTGGTGCTTAGTGAACTGTGAAGATTAGCCGTGGCGCTGTACTTACTTGTACGTACGAATCGTGTGAAGGTGTGGTCAGCACATTCACAAAAGCAAACCCCGTCTGTAGTCACACACATGCGTGACAATATCCTCATTTATTCATTATTTATTTATTTGTTTATCAACGTGTGTACCGGTTGAATATTTCGAAGTCCTCCATGAGAAGTCCTGGTTTCGATCCTCGTTCAAGATGGTTCAACTATCTGTCCTACCCGCGTGTTAGAAATTACGCGCTCATTTCCTGCGATCAAACGTGTCTGAAAGCCTTATCAAAACGAGTTTCTAGAAACGCAAGACAAGATAATGGGAACATTCTGGAAAGCTAGTTCCTGACGTTTCTTTCCATGTCAAGTGCGTAAACAGGGCGATAAAGTGGAGTCCGTCTTATCAAATTCATGGCGTTATGTAAGCTCAGTAACACTTTAAAAGGACGCTTTCCACCTTAAGTTCATTTAAAGACCCCCCTCATTTGAACAGGTCTGTCGCCAGCCTATTTCTTGGTTCTTGGTTGTCTTCCTGTGTTCCTGTATGCGCGCGCACGTGTGTGTGAAGCAGGAGGCGAGTTGGTGTGCGAGTTCCCGCTCCAGTCCCCCCCCCCCCGCGTACCCTATGGAACGGGCAGTAACGTATACAGGGTGTCCCAGGAGGAAAGGCAGATATTCTTGGAGGTCATAATATCGGTCATTCTGAGCAAAAGACTGCATGTGTACATGTGCCCTATTCCGAACGGTTTCCGAGATAGAGCTATTTCCCTGTACAGTACACTACACACTGTACAGACGAGCAACACGCCATGTCCTCACACGAATTGCAAATTGCATTGATGTTGACGGTGGAATTTTCGAAAATGTATTATACTAGATAAACTGTACCAACTTTGTCACTTGAACAATAAATACCGGTATTAGAAACAGTACGTAATATCTCTTTCTTATCAACAGTTTTGGAACTGTACAGTGAAATAGCTCTATCTCGGAAACAGTTCGGAGTAGGACATATGTACATAAACACTGTTTTGCTTAAAACGACCGATACCTTCACCTCCCAGAATGTTGACTTTTCTCCCTGGGACATCCTGTATATCTTAACACATCAGTCGAGTTTTCGTGTTGTGTACAGTTCATGCTGTGACATTAATGATGACCACAAGTTTCTGTTGCTGGGTTTCTAATCATTAATAGCATGTGAACGCCGACGTATCAGGGTACCATAGCCCTTCTGTGGGCCCTGGACGCTTTTTCAGCTTCGTAATCCTATATACAGTGTGTAGGACTCCTTGGATGGGGGACCAGCCCGTCGCAAGGCCGCTACCGGCACACAGACATCCATGCCTCGAGTGGGATTTGAACCCACGACCGAAGTGTTCTAGCACACCTCAGACGTGACCGGCTGTCAGGGTGTCACTGACCGACAGATTCTCAGTGTCCAGCTGCTGAATAAGTTGTTGACTGCGGCCGCAGTGAAATCATTTTGGTATTCCAAAACTCAGCATCTTGACACAACACAAGAGTCTTGCAGCTGACATCTGCGCTAGCTGTATGAGTATGAAGAGTAGCATCTTCTGGGATATGGCGCCGTGTAGTCTGGTACAAATTCACCTAAATATCGGTGGAACTTACTTACTTACTTACTTACTTACTCATGGAGCTGAGCCCTTTTTGAAAAGCAGCTAATTCTGCAGATACTCAAGAATTTCCCAGAATTTTATGGAATCTGAAGGTTCATTACCGTGTTCACAAGAGCCCTCCACTGGTCCCTATCCTGAGCTAGATCTATCCAATCCATACCATCCCATCCTATCTTTCTAAGATCCATTCTAATATTGTCCACCCACCTGCGCCTTGGTCTTTCCAATGATCCCTTTCCTTCTGGCTTTCCCACCAATATCCTCTACGCATTCCTCGTCTCCCCAATTCGTGCTACATAACCTGCCCACCTTATCCTCCTTGACTTAATCATTATAATTATACTTGGAGAAGAGTACAAACTATGAAGCTCCTCATTATGCAGTTTACTCCAACCTCCTGTCACTTCATCTCTCTTGGGCCCAAATGTTCTCCTCAACACCCTCAGTCTGTGTTCCTCCCTTAATGTCAGAGACCAAGTTATATCGCTTTAATATACAGAGTCGAAAATTAAGCCAACAGCAAGAAGGAAACATTTCTCCTAAAAGTTAGAAATTGTTGCCTAGTCGAGGCTGCAGCAGGATACACGATCCTTTATTCGTAGATCTGCCTGTTATCTTTTCAGATAACTCCATGTAGAAGAGCCCATCTTGGGAAGTCGGCAGTCACACCGCTACTCAAACATTTCCCAGCATTTTATGGGACCCAAAGGCTCATTACCGTGTTCACAAGAGCCCTCTACTGGTCCCTATCCTGAGCCAGATCATTTGTGTCCATACCACCCCATTCTCTCACTCTGTGATCCATTTGAATATTATCCACCCACCTACGTACAGTTCAAGGTCCTTACATTCCATGTTCCAATCCTGTAGCCCTGCTGTTCCTTCTGATCTTCGCACTTTTTCTTGTTGTAACGCCTGCGTGACATTTCCTCTAGAAACACTCCCCCCGGAGATCCGATTGGGGGAGTAGTTTACCTCCGGATTGTTTTGTCTGCAGAGGAAACATCTCGCATACATGGTATCTCTGTTTTTGGAAAGAGACTATCCAGGAAAAGTGATAATGTAGTAGTTTTTCCATTTGCTTTCCACATCGCAGTACAGCAGCCGTTCAAACCACTCTGGTCACGCCTGTTGCTATACGAACTTGAACCATCTCGAGCATCATTTGCTCTGTGCTTCAAGTCGCTGCTGATGACGCTGCTTCCGGCATCAGTTTTTGGTTTTTGGTGTCTCTCTTCGTCTGATGCCTACCCTTTGACCTGTCCAGCAAGGGAGGTCCTGCCAGTAGCTACGCTACCGCTGGTATAGCTCTCAGGGTCCTTGGCATACTCAAACCCCCTCACCACGATAAGGTGGAGACACCCAAAGAGGGAAACTGAATTTATAGAATGTAATTTTAATTTCTTCAAGAATTTAATATAGTTTTGTTTCTAAAATTATACTTGTTGTACACCATTTATATCTATACTTGCAGTGCTTTTAATGCAGTACACATTCCCATTGCACGAAACCACAGTGTGCCGCTACTTGAGTGAAGTGCAGTGCGCGTGCGCAGTCTGCAAGAATGTTAACCATGTTGGCGGAGCTGTCGCTAGGCTGAGTGCCGAGTCCAGGTGCTGTGGTACTGAGAGCTGTCCTTGCGGTAGGGCCACCGGAAGTGGACAGGTCAGGCAGGTGTAGAAGAAGGAAGTTGGACAGGCCCAGGCCCGAGAATAGGCCTGATAGTTATGTCAGGCTCAGTAGGTGCTGAAGAAGGACATATGATAGGTAGAGGCCAAAAAGTTCGCCCGGGAATTATGACAGGTCCAGGCCCAAGATTTTGCCTGTGAGGTCCAGGCCAACAAAATATTGGGCTGCTGCTCACGATATCTGAAACACGAAATGTTCAGTTATAGATTCGACACATTGACCTTGACAATAAAATTGAAGTCCGTGTTCGTGGCTCAGACTGATCAAGGTAGTTAATTTTTGGCTTCTTGCTTTCAATTAGTTATTTTCACATATGATTACCTTCGCTATCCGCACGAAACGCAACGTAGCATGAATTTTATGTTGTTATTTTTTCGGCAGTCTTCGTTTTATGTGCCTCCCGTGACGACAGAACATGTTTCATATTAACCGTCATGTAGAAATGGAATGCGGCCTCTCAGTGGGCCAAAGCATGCTTACTTAATGTCACTACTAATATCAGGTATTTTTACACTGTGCACAGGCGCAACTGCTTCTGCGCCTTGTCTTCATTCTATGTCCCTCTGTATTAGTTATCACCTCCAACCGCTCAGAATTTGTGAGCCTGCTATGCGGGATGGTAGCATACTCGTAAATATCGTTAAAAAAAAAAACAGAACCCTTTAGCGTAACAGTACAGCCATTAGGGCCAGATTTTAATATAATTTATAATTAAGAAATTATAATAATATTTGAAAATCCGAGAGGTTTTGGAAAACAGTTCCACAGATAGAGCACGGCCAAAATATAACACACCCTCGAACCCAGAGAGCACCGTGGTTCCTGAAGGACACACAAGAGATCTGTGATCATTAGAGCAGCTGGACTGATCGTGACACTGCATGGAAACAGAGACTGAACTTTAGGTTTATACTCGTGTTGCCTCCATGCTTTTGCGGAGAGATGGTGATTCTATATCATCATCATCATCATCATTACATACATAATCGCAAAAATTCAACTTTAAAATAATCTCGTCCATGAGACAGATACTGTAACTTGGGGTGAATTTCCCCCTTAGGGGTTAATTTTGTTCCGAACTAGATGAAAGTTGTAGGAGAAAGTACAGGGATTTGACTGTCATGACAGTTTCAGGTAAATTTTTAGTGCATTGGTTGGCAACAGTGGAATTGATTTGGGCCGTCTTATATCTGCAATGTGGTAATGTAGTCAGAACTGCTGTGAAGCCGCACTTAATTTGATTCTATCTCTTAGTTTCATGCACTTCTCCAAGGTAAATGTGTGCTCAGTTTGTCAGTAAACTTCTAAACAAACTAAATAGATTCTTTTTCTAATTTTCAACTATTATTCGTGCTCGTGCTCGTGCTCGCCAGGCTTGTGCTCGTCGAGAGACTCGTCTGGCTTTTACTTGTGCTCGTAAATCTTCGTCCACACTACTTCAGTTACTCGCCAGGCTTCGGCGCGTGAGGATCTGTATATTTACTCGTAGTGTGTATAGGCTGTAGTCGTATTTAAATTTATTGGCTATAGTTTTTAATTAAAAATTAAAAATTAGCTTGTCTCATGACTTGTCATATCGTCCACATTACTCGCGAGCATAGCGAGTCACACAAGCACGAGTAATGTAGACGCGCTTTTACGCGTCGGCCGCCCTGTTACCTCCAGGAAGATTCCTGGTGCTAATTTCAGTTTGAGGCTGAATGGACCTCTAGTGCGGCTAGAAGGATTAGGTCTGTTGAAAAATCCAGTGACTCCATCGGGAATCGAACCCGCGGCCTTCTTTGTTGTAGCAAAGGGGACTAAACGGATTCCCCAGTTTAATATCCAGTGGGAATAGTACCAGTAAAGACGAGTACTTGAAATTGATTCCTCTGAAGGCAATGAAAAATGACGCATCTAATATTAATGAAAGCTTTAGCGAAACTTTAGAACATACAAACCAGCCCAAGAAACGCAACCCAAAAGCTTGGCCTACTAAACAGGACGATGTGTCTGCACACTTACCGACAAGCAGCAGCAGTCCCGTTGCGGCTTGGCCTACTAAACAGGACGATGTGTCTGCACACTTACCGACAAGCAGCAGCAGTCCCGTTGCGGCTTGGCCTACTAAACAGGACGATGTGTCTGCACACTTACCGACAAGCAGCAGCAGTCCCGTTGCGGCTTGGCCTACTAAACAGGACGATGTGTCTGCACACTTACCGACAAGCAGCAGCAGTCCCGTTGCGGCTTGGCCTACTAAACAGGACGATGTGTCTGCACACTTACCGACAGGCAGCAGCAGTCCCGTTGCGGCTTGGCCTACTAAACAGGACGATGTGTCTGCACACTTACCGACAAGCAGCAGCAGTCCCGATGCGGCAACAAGTAGCAGGGTCTGGAAGTTCTTCATCTTCTGGCCAGAAGTTAGCTTCGGCTGATTCAGAATGGGACTCCGAGCCTCATATAAAAGCTTTGTAGACGAAGGTGAGAGATAAAGAAATGGAGTTCCCCTAAAACAGGATACCCGTTGTTTACAGCCATGTTTAGGTAAGTTTTCCGATAAGCGTTTTCCGGCACTGCTAAATACTCGTATATCTTGTCTGTTTTGCTCACACGTACACCTCAGGGTTCTTGAATTATTTTATATATTTCTTGACTCGAAATAATACCAAGTATATTAAATAAATTATTACTTTGCAAAGGAACTTCGCGCCTGCATTGCCAGTTCTGCTGTTTTGTATTTGCAGGTACGATTTCGACGTTGGAAGCTCTGTGTTTTTTGTGAGAGTTATCGTGGCTCTCCTCAGTTTGTTCAGGCGAATGCATTCGTGATATCTGTATAATAGACATTGTCCTGTCGTTCCAAGTCGCTGTCAGTGCAATCGCCACGAACATACTGCAGCCAATGCAGTATAACTCATCGACGTGAGAAAGGATTTTAAAATAAAGTCATATTTTTCTTCATGCGTTAGTGACCTGTTTCGAGATCAGTGTGTCGGTTTCCTAAGTCGCTCACGACCTCATCCATATTGCTTTGCATCGAAGCGCTTGTGTGAAATACTTGTAACCCGCAGGCCTTTGGGAACAACAGTGGTTACTAGGAAACTTAACAATTTGCCCGGATAGGTTGCATTCCTGCTACTGGTGTTGGCGTTGGAGGTTAGTGACTTTTATTACAAGAATACTGAGGCATGATGAGCGCGATGTTATCAGAAATTGTAAGTGTAGGGCGGGGGTTTTCCCGACGTTTAAATGAAACCGACATAGGACGGCAGGTATAAACCGATTAGCACGTTAGCAGGAAATGCCGGAAAAATGTATCGATTACGTCACGACCGCTTCCTTCTAAGCCCTTCTTCGTGAACATAAGAATGACATTCCCTGAAACCCTTCGTCACCGAGGCTGATATCGAAACGGTACCCTGGCCGCGCCATAACTGAAGCGGTTAGTCGCTGACTTCCCACCGCGGCTGCCCGGGTTCGATCCCGGGTCCGGTCAAGTGTGATTTGTGGTGGATAAAGTGGCGCTGGGGTGGGTTTTCTCCGAGTACTTGGGTTTCCGACCAAATTCTCCATTATCATAATCACCCAGGGCAGGCTACAATAGGCCAATCAGTGGCCGCCGTGCCGAGTGAACCCAGTTGGACTCCACCCCCCAGTAAGCGAATTAAAAAAAAAGGTACCCTCCCATTGTTTCCAGGTGGGCTAAGCACCTCTTCTGATGTAATTTTATGACTCTGGCGGTCCAAAATTTTGAGGCCTTATTCTTATTTCCGGTCGGTCATTCAGCCCGTAGCCAGTCACTGTACCGACACAAAAAATCCTTTGAGTATGGAGGTCCTGTTGACGAAGAGGCATTTCACGTTCGCAGTGTGGATGCCAGTGAGACAATCCGCAACTGGCACGGCATCTCTGAACGGATGCGGCGGTCCATGATGAGACGTCCTGATTTCTGTCCTTCCGAATTTACCGGATGTTCCATCCTCAGTCTCGCCATCTGAGCATTGTCTGTTAATGGCCTTCGGAATTCCGTCAATATAACGCTTTATTAGTTGTATATTCTGTATATAGTTTATTTGCAAATGTTTACAGTACAAACATTCAGCTTCAGTGTCTGAACCAAGTGCAGTGTGCCATCTGTGTTGCGTTGCGTTCCGTTGAACTGCTTTTCGAAGAGCACTATCTTTTAGGATATAACAACGTGTAGTGCGTTGCCACATACTGTCACGCTGGTATCTTTCTCGGCATCTCCGACTCTGAAGATGGAGGCGAAATGTTCGTCCGAAACGTTTGTTGGTTCTGAACAGATTGCACGGCGTTATATCCCAGAAGATAGTACTGTACATAACCACCGACGTGAGAACCTCTGAACCTGAGTACGTTAACTGTCGTTCTTGAGGACCTCATCGCTAGGCTGATTCTCTTGCTAGGTGCAGAGGGTTGTGGAGCAATGTACGGTGTGGTGAACGCTGACATAACTTGCCTGCAGCAGAGTGTAATGTAGGGACAGGCTTGAATGGCGAAATTGAGGTGGAGTGGTCATCGCTTTCTGGACGGTTTATAATGCGCCACCCAAGTTTATTTGCTTGAAATCCCTATTCCGTTGATTGGTAAGAAGTGCTGCTGTGCTGGTATAGCTGAAACAACAAAATATGAACTTATAAATCTGTCTAAGGAAACTTTTTCTCTGAATTCTGGTTGCTAGTGTCTCCGGTGTTGCTCACATACTTCTATTGTGGTTGGATTCTTAATCATAATTTCAACGTGATTCTGGATTTGGTTGTATGTGACTGAAAAATGTTACAAGATTTTACACATTGCCTGTTCTAAATCTAAACAAATGAAAATATACAATTTTCCGCCGCTTCTAATAGACATTCTTCAATTAATACTTCGAATGATTGGATTTATTAGCAACTTGGTTACAAGGTCTCTTCCTTTGGCGCTACAGCCCCATTTCTGGCCTTTGCCTACCTCCACGAAACTCTCCATTTCGCTTCAGTTTATTAGATCTTAGACAGTCGACAGGACTCCTTGGACGCGTGATTAGCTCTTTGCAAGGCCTCTACCTGCACACAAACACAGAAAAACGCACACCAAACATCCATGCTCTGAGTGAAATTCGAACCCACGATCCCGGCTTCCGAGCGAGCGACGACAGTGCATGACTTAGGCCGCTCGGCTACCGTGACCGGCCAACGTTTGCAACATTAGTGTTCGAATTGACAAGAGCACAGCGTCCTCACGGAAAATTGTTGGCTTTCAGTTGGGCTTCACATGGAAGAACAGTCACGTTCTCAGCCTTCATATATACTCGTATGAATTGTAGTATTGAATCGTAACAGAAACAAACCCCCCCCAAACTTGGCTTCTAAAGGGTGCGATGTCTTTGTACACTTACCGGCAAGTAGCAGCAGTCCCATGGCGGCAACAAGTAGAAGAATCCGGAAGTTCCTCATCTTCTCTGCAGAAGTAAGCGTTGACTGATAGTGAGTAGAACTCCGAGCCGCTTATATACTGCTTGGCTGATAACAAGGGATAAATTTTCGCTGGGTAATTCCGCAACGCTTTCATTTGACCTACTTTCTAATTGCCGTAACTGCGTAGGGAGAAGGTCGTCCATAAATTACCAGCGGAATAATCAAATTAGAAACCTTTGGAATCGAGCCCTCCTTCAGATAATGTCAGTACCTCAGCTGGTCAGTCAGTTTTCCGCTGTTATAGGAACTGCACATTTTAGGATTGACTAGAGCCTGCTGCAGCATTCTCGTGAGTCAGATAAATACACTCCAAAGTAAAGTACACAATATCTTTGATTTGGTTCATCGTGGTCCGGCACGCTAGCAATATTATGAAAGGTTAATGAAATCTGTGGGCCGGTCACGGTAGCCGAGCGGTCTAAGGCATGTACTGTCTTCGCTCGCTCGGAAGCCGGGATCGTGGGCTCGAATCCCACTCAGGGCATGGATTTTTAGTTTGTGTGTGTGCGTTTTTCTGTGTTTGTGTACAGGTAGAGGCCTTGCGACGAGCTGATCACCCGTCCAAGGAGTCCTACCGAATGTGTAAGATCTATAAAAACCGAAATGAACGGAGTTAATGGAGGTAGGCCTAGGCCCACTGGGGCTGTAGTTCCAAGGAAAAAAATGAAATCTGTGAAGTGTGACTGAAGTCCGAAACATGTCAAAGATGAAAGGTTAAACAGGAAATAAAGAAAAAAACGTTTCAGTGACACTGGACGGAGTTTATTAACCTTACGTGCTCTCTGTTTAACTTCCATTTAGTAATATGACACTTCCGTCTATGCCTTCGTCTTGCAAGCAGGCTCATTCTGGGTTTCAACTGATGACCAAACACATTCATCCTGGTCGAGATTTGTATTCGAGACGTGTTCCTTTAGATTGTAGATCGACACGTCTGTTATTCTGACCGAGGTTATTCACGGTTTCCGTTCTTCCCCCGAAGTAAATGCCTCAACTAGGTGACAACAGCTTCTCTCAAAATTCTTTCCAATTCATCGGAGGAATGTTCTGTAGCGTACGCACCCGTTACTGGGTAACGACAGCTACACCAATAACGAACATCTGCTGCTGGCAACAGATTCTTACTAAGCAAGTTTACGCAGCCGTTACTGAGTAACGCCTACCAAAATATACGGCTACTTATATACCAAGCTGCACGGCGTCGCATCCCAGAACACTGCAGTCTTAATAGAAAACTTTTATAATTTAATCCTTTAGCTTAGCTGTCAGTAACTAAGTACGTGTCGCTGTCTCGTCACCAAAATGCAGGCCACAGCAATGGCGTAAAGATAGAGAACATGTTTTGAAAATGTGGCACACTTCAGATATTCGGAACGACGATAACAAATCAAAACCTGATTCAGGAGGAAATTAAGAGGCGATTGAACTCGGGTAATGCTTGCTACCATTCAGTGCAGAACCTTCTGCCTTCTCGTCTGCTGTCTATAAACATAAACATTAAAACTATAATTTTGCCCCTGGTACTGTATGGGTGTGAAACTTGGTGTCTGACATTAAGGGAGAACCATAGACTGAGGGTGTTAAGAATATTTGGACCGACGGGAGGTTGGAGAAAACTGCATAATGAGGAGCTTCGTAACTTGTACTCTTCTCCAAGTATAATTAGAATGATGAAACAAAGAAGGATGGGATGTGCAGAGCACGTAGCATGAAAGGGGAGAAGATGAATGCATATAGGATATTTGTTGGAAATCCAGAAGGAAAAATATCACTATGAAGACCAAGACGTAGGTGGTTGTGCAATATTAAAACGCATTTTAGATAGACAGGATGTGGTTGTGAGAACTCCCATTGGAGTAATGTATATCAGATTTATTAAAGCCTGCACTAATTCGGAGGGGACACACGGTAGCATAGTTGGTCGAGGCACTGTGCTACAAGCCGGAAGGTCGCGCGTTCGAGTCCCGATGAGGTGGATTTTCTCAATTGACCTAATCCTTCCACCTGCAATATGGCCCTGGGGTGGACTCAGTCTCTAACAGAAATGAGTACCAGGAATAATCCTGAGGAGTAAAGGGTGGCCGGCGCGTAAGGCTGACAGCCTCACCGTCATCTGTGGGCCGATTGTCTAGAAAACGTGGGAGCCTCAGTGTCTCACAACCCTATGGGCTTCCATGGCCCAGATATATATTTACCTTTACCTTTACCTTTACACTATTTCGGACAGCTAGAATTAGGACCACACTGTTAATATAGCTCCTAGAGAAATTGTCTATGTATTAGAGAAATAGGGCCAGTCCAAGGGCTGCATTTTGTCGACATCTCTCCAGTTCAGTGTTTATTAGTTAACTGCGTAGTTGGAGCAATAACCACTCAGCTCTCGAATGAAGAATTCGTGTCCAATGTTGTTGACCACACAGTTGGGTGGTGTTACTTGAAGCGGTGCATGGAATGCCACGGAACGTAGTTTCGGCCTTTCCTACTCTTACACGTACTAGAATACGTCGATAAAGCAGCGCCCAATGCTGTCAAATTCACTGTGCAATCGCGTGAACAGGTTATGAAGTATTTTAGCGCACTTTCCTCATTTTGAGGAAACAAAAATAACACTTATGAGTTCACGTTGCCTGCTATGTGTCTGTGTATTCCCGACTGTAATTCCTGGAAACCGAAATAGTACAGTTAGAGGGAAGCGCGTGAGACGTGTATTGCTAGTCAACGGCTTGGTAAATAGATTCTCCAACTCATGGCTTCCTGTACACTACGATTCCCTGCTAACTACGGTTTTGAACAGAAAATTGTCCTGTTTACATAACTTCGGGTCGGGTCGCAGGGAAAACACCACCTCCAATAGTTTCTCTCTTCCTAGCCTTTATTCTCCGTGTTTCTGTATGTGTATCCTTCTATCGTTGCTAGGCAACGTACCGCTTACCAGGTAACGGCTCTGTAAGCACATCCCCACGGAAACACAATAGAATAATTGATGGACGGGTCGTTTTCTATGCAGTCAGTGTTGTACCGAAGGGAAGTATGCTAATAGTTAGAAGTATTGTATAAGAGGCTTAAACCTGGCGGTGATCAGGTCTGCGACCGTTCAAGTCACTGCCGTTTCGGAGTGGTGAAAATAAGTCAACGCATTATATGCCGTAGAAGCCTGCATTGAGAGGTCCTGTTTATATCCTGCGTAAATATTTGGCAGCGTGTCTGGTGTCCGTACACTACAAACGCTAATATCTGGACTCCTTGTGAGTAGGGTACACACACTCGTGCGACATGTGTGGCCTCTACTCAGATAAACCCATGGCGGGGACCAGCAGCAATTTAGTGGATCTGGACTTAGTTCTTTCCAGAACTTCTTGTTTTTTAGGACATACTCTTAATGGTTTGTATATATTCATTAACCGATCATTGATGCGTTCACCCATCTGTACATAGTTCAGCCAAGTCTTCCTCGTTTTAGCTAATGAATTTATTCTTTCGTGCTTTCACACTCTCTTCCAGTTATTTATAGTAGATTTTCAATGTTCACGCTTCGGACTCTCCTGTCACGTTGCGACTTTCTCATGTTCATACTGTCTGCTGCTGTTTCTCGCCCTCCACACCAGAGGTCAGCACCGCTGCCTCCAGACGCTCCAGGCAGAGCTCACATGATCTGGGGGATGTACCAGGGAGGCAGCAAACAAGTACCTTCGCTCGTGAAGGAAGTTATACGTGCCCACGTTTACTTGCTACTGCAGTCTTTACAAGTCTACAACGATTTGTACTGAGCACAAACCTGTTTCAGTGCCAACAGTGGAACCAATTTTAATTTTATTGCCTAGGAAGTACGTAATTGTATGACATATTCTCATAGTATTTGTTTTCGTTTTCCTTTAAAATTTTATGACGCCTCTTATACATTTTCGGCTTCTTATGAATAACGTACTTGGTGATATCGTATTCTAAATTATCGTCACATTCATATTAGCATGTCAGTAAATGTAAATAAAATTGTATACGGGGCAGGAAAATTCCCATTGGTGACAGCCAAGGTTATCTCATGGCTACCAACTGAAGTTCCAGTTTATGCTGTTTGCTTGGTAAGGCGCTAGAGGCTCCACGTGTGGTACCCTCGGCTTTGTTCTGTGGCGTTCAGTCCCGTACACCACATTTGTATTGAGATGACGGGCCTGCATGGACCTCCCACGACGGTTGGGGTCCTGGCAGCTGTACTTTGGTGCGCGATGGGCGGTAGAGCCACACTGGGTCACCGCTCTGCAGGACTATGTAGTTGGGTAGGCGGCCCTAGCTCGTTTTCATTCTGACACTGTACTTCTTCAGACGTTGACTGGAGTAGTGGTTAATGTCATGTGACCGATCTACGAGGTCTGGTCAATGGCGGGCCGATTCCTGTCAGGAGTAGCCTCAAACAACAGGTTAGGGTGTCGGCGGCCTGCCCTCCCGAGCACTAAGTTAGCTGAGGTCAAGCACGCTGTGTTGTGCCTGAATGCCCTGGAATAGTCTAGCGACATAGCCTATACGTTGGTTCCGGAAACACAGTAACCCTGTCCGCAGGCTCAACAGTAACCCTGCCACTGGAATAGCCTAGCGGCATAGCCTATACGTTGGTTCCGGAAACACAGTAACCCTGCCACTGGAATAGCCTGCGATTGTCCCGCAACCTGCACTCAGTGTGTGAATACAGGGTTTTCAGTTTGCACTTATCCGGTGAAAGGGGTTCTAGTGCGTAAAGGTAAACCGCGACGGCAGTCGTGAAGGGAGCTACGAGACTTGAGAGTTCGTGACTCTGAGGGAGAAACGGCCTGGAGTTAAGGCTCTAGATATTTATTGATGGGAGATAATTATTACAATTTTCCCTCTACCTGACAGAGAACAATTTCTGAATTCTGTATCTTCCTCGTCAATTTCTATACCGAAGCAAGTAATTTTATACATGAAATACTCTTGCAAAGAGAAAATTACAGCAGTTTAACGTTCATTAAAGCCGAGTCACCGTGTCATAATCATCATATACTAGTCGGAT